TCAAATGTCTGATTCTCAAACCATAGAGACCGAATATGGGAAAATCCGACTATTAGATTCAAAGTCATTCAGAAGTGTTTTTTTTTTGCACTCTGCCAGGTTCTGTATTCTTTTGATTTTATAATTTTAAATATTGTTTTAACTAAGTAGTTAGCATATTGTAGGTCTTCCCCATAAACTATTTAGATTGCATACCAGGACATGAAATACCGATCATCATATTAAAAGTTATTCAGGTATGCGATGAACATTTTTGCGCATTGTACTGAACGATTTCAGTGAACAAAATAAAATCTGATAATCATGAGGAATCACATTAAGTGAAAACTAAGGAGGAAAAGGAATCTTCAAATAAAACAAATAAATAAATCTTCTCAAAATATTTTTGATGTGATAAACATAATTTAATTCACGCAATACTAAATGAAGTTTTCTTTCATTGAATTTGTCTTGAAAGAATAATAAATTGAGGGCATAACTGTTTAAGCAAAAATAAAAATGAACTCAAAAATCGAAGCCAAATATTGGATTAAAACTATCTGGCACAGCTTCAGGTACAATCACGTTTTTGTGATATTGCACTTCTTGAAAAATGAATCTGAAAACCGATCCGTTACTTTTTTTTCCTTTTTTGGCAAATTTTCTAAATGTTGTATATAATATTGAAACTCAATACAGAAAAGTTTCATCAAATGTTGCTGTGTTAAAATTATTGTGGTTCTTCTTTTATAGATATACATAACGAAGCCCGAAATATTGTAAAGTGTTTATGCGCTATAAACTCCACTATTATTTTAATTATAAATATAGTTCAAGTGTATTTTACTTTTAATAATTTGTGTCAATTTTTAAAAATAGTAATGGTTTGAAATGTTTTTATGTGGTTTTATCAGCAATAAATTATATATTGTAGAAGAAAATTTTCATTGAAAATATTTATTAATTTAATAATTAATTAAAATGTAAATAAACTTTCTTTTGATAAGACCAGATTCTACAAATATATTTGTATTACAAATATATTAGTGTTACCTTTTAACTTACTTTTAACAATTATTACTTTTACTTAATAATTTTTTAACAATTTAAGGCTTTGTATACATAGTAAAGAAATTGTGCATTGTTTATTGCAATTGTTAAATTATTAAAAATAAATTTCTTTTGTTCTAACGATTTAGGCAATCGATAGTTTGGAAACTAATTACTGTAATTTATTATTTAATCATTGTAAACTAATTACGACAAGGTTCATATGTAATTTATTTAAAAGAATAATTAGAATTTTAACTAATAATGACTAAAGTTTAACTTTTCAAGAAAAAGTCCTTTTCTATTTGATAAACTAAGTTATTGCCGAAAAAAGTTATTGCCGTTGCCAACACCATCTTAAAAATATTTCGCTGTTAGCAATTCTCTTTCAAATAACGCATTATTATTGCTTTAAAATTTAGCACTTTTAAATAAAATGTTTATGAAATTCTGACATACAAATTTTATTGTCGAGGATATTAGTTTTTAAGTTTTTTACTTAAAATTTGAAGATCCATTTATCCCACACTGACAAATATGTCTGGTAAAAATTACCAGAATATGGTAAAATTAAGTGTTTTCGGTTCTATGGGAATACCAGAAAGACCGATAATTATTACCGAAGCTCTTTGGTTATGACTTTTCATAAAAAGCGTTAAAGATCAGAGAATGTGTTAAAGTTTGGTGATTTTATCACGGTACCCTAGATCATGGCATAAAAACCATTTATTCATTTAAACCTAATTTTCAGTTTGTATTTTTCTACATGTATGGTAATAAGAAGTATAATTTTGAAAATCAGAATTTTCGTCAAACCGCTGCCATACGAACAGAGAACTTACCAAATGGATGGTTTAAATACCGTATATTTTGAGCTCATTAAAAGAATTTTGGTTTTTGTAATACCAAAAATGTCATTCTATTACAAGTTCAATAATTTTACCAAATTTTTTTTCTCCGTTTAGTAAAAACTATTAACTGTAGAGTTATGGTATTTTTTGCCTTGTAATTTCATATCTGAAGACAATTTTTTAATATTTGATTTAGTTTTGTAGTCACTAACATATTAAACTTTTAAACTGTTTGGATATTTCTTTCTGTTATTCCTTTAAATGAACCTTAAGGGTTCAATTACATTTTGGGAATACTTTTTTTTTGGGGGGGGGGTAGATGATATTATCATATAATCAGCTTTCGTGGAAAACAAAGAAAAAAGAAAAACTTTTCATAACACCAAAAAGAAATCACGAGCCTACTGGAAACTGACTGTAAACTGCTAATACCTTTGACAGGCTATAGTTGCGCTTTTTCACTTCATGCTTCAAATTTTGCCTACCTTGGTGACAATTTCGATTGGCGTTGAAAATACAAAAATAGAATTGAAGAAAAATATATACATTTACCTCAACCACAATTCAATATTTATTTTCTTCAGAATAATCACGTGTAACAAAGATTAAATGAATTAAATAAACAAGAAAACGCTTACAGCAGAAAGTGTTTGCGTTAATAGTTAGAAATATTTCAAAAATGAATAATAAATTGATTATTATTTTAAATTCTTTAATAAATTAAATAACGTTACATGCTTTTGTCTCATATGTTTTTTCTCTCAATATGTAAATATAACATTTCAGGAGTTTGCACTCTGTATTTTAAATAAATTATTTGTAAATGTTAAGGTTTTTAAAATTCCAATTTGATATTATATAGCAATTTAATTTCTTTATACAATGAGAAACAATATTTATTAAAAAGGAAAAAAAAGTAAATAAATTGAAATAAATGAAATAATCGAAGAAACTTTATATTCAAAAATATTTAATAGCTACTGTCCTTGGTAAGCTCAAAACAAGACGTCAATCAAATAAAAACAGTAAATAGCATGCATTTATTTTAGAAATAGTCATACTAATAAACTTTGAATGACGTGCGTCAGAAACAAATTTTAAATTTGTTCAAAGAAAGGAGCAATTTTATTCATTTAAGTTCTTGTGTTATTCACAAAGCTCGTGTGATTAGTAACAGGAAAGATAATTTATATTCATGTGATGAATAAATTGTGACAAAATGATTGACTGTTTTGCAAACATTATTTTCTTTATCGAAGGAGTTGAAGAAATTTTAATATGAAGACTTTTTTGCAAACACAAAATATTCTTATAGAGTCATAAATCCTAATCACATAATTTCCTTTCACGGATTTTTTTGCTGTTGATATAACAGCCATTTCACCTCATTTGAATTATTGGGTAACAACGCCTTAAACACCTTGCTAAGTTACACGTTAAAATTGTACGATGATTAATTGAATTTGTAAAATTTTGCACAAATCAAATGAAAGACATTGCTAAATGCATAGTTCATTTAAATGAACAAAGGCAATAAAAATTACAATAGGAGCCAATGCAGTACTAATTTACCTGCCCTACACTGTAAAATTTACGGTATGAAGTACCGGCACTTTGGGTGCATCATCAATTAAAATCGATTTTTACTGTAAAAAATTACACTGTAATTTTCACAGTAATACTTATTTAATTAGAATGATTCAGTGATTTTACGGTAATTGTAACTGTAAAATTTACGGTAAATCAGATTTTTAGTTCCGTAGCATATTCTGGTAAACAAGGATTTTATAATAGAATGCCGGTACTTTTTACCGTAGTTTGATTCGTAATTTTTTACAGTGTTGGAATAATTATTTGAAATGACTGTCAATAATTAAGGGGTAAAAGAGTAATATTTTGATTTGGTTTTAAAAGGTAATGAATTGTTAAATAGATGCATGACAATTTTATTATTAATGCATTTAAAGAACATAATATATTATTCAAAATATCGTAAAGATAAAAATTTGGCTAAATAAAAAATTTGCAGAAGCAAGTGCATTTTTTTCATAAATCCCTCATCTTGAATGTAAATTTTTGTAAAAGTAAAATAATTGTGAAATAATTTTTAATGCTTCTTGTAATGGAGAATCATCGCACAAAACTAAGGCAATCAGCCATAATATTATGTTTAAGTTTCAAAAAAGAAATAGTTTGATATTTTGCAAAGAATCTTCAACAAATCTTTTAAAAAAATGACAGCACCTTAATAATTTTTTTTTATCTTCTATCAATACTCTAACTCGAAATGATAAAATCAATAATGTTCATTTTTCTGTTTCCTGCTTTGAAAAATATACAGAGCATAATTTAAGTTTTCGAAAATAATTATTTCTTCGCTGTTATTATCATTTAATTACGTTGTTGAAACGCATTTTCTTTTTAGCTAGAGAGTGAGAATTAAGAGTGAATAATTTTTCAAGAACATTAACTGTTTGCAAATAGTCAAGAGTGCGCATCTAAAATCAATAAAAATTGTCGCAAGATGTGCACGATATGATATATAAAATTGGTTGGCGGAGCACTGGGCCCATGTTCAAGAGTTCGTGTGTTCGATCCCAGGCTGGCCGAAGATTCCCTGTGTAGTAAATAGTGACTGGTGCATGTTAAATCTTATGAGTCACAAAGTCCTCCATGTTCCCATAAGAAATCAATATCTCTGGGGGTAATTATCCAGGAGTTTCCTTGTCTTCTGGATTGGTTCAAAATTACAAAGCTACGGAGTTGAATTAGTAGTCGTAAACCCGAAATTAGGCCGGCTGCTCAATGACAGATATGAAAATAAAATAAAATATATTAAATATTTGATGTTATATTAATCAAATTTAAATTCTTATTTATGGAGAAAAATGTATATTAAATAAGATAAAAAATAATTTCATTTTTGTTACAAATGTTAATATTAAAAATGAGCTAGGTACTTACGTTATCCAAACAATATGATATTAGATTTTCTTTTTAAATAAAAGCTAGATATTTGGATAATTTTGAAAGAAAAAAAGATATACTTTTATAGGTAAATGAGGAAACTGATCTATCTATAAATATCTGAGAACAAGTTAAATGATAATTATTTAATACCTGCAAACTAAGTTCAACTCATCTTGAGTTGCTGCCAGCGCTAAATCTTCACGCTGCGATATTGCTTCTAAAACAGTGAAACAGTCTGCAAATTCTTGTGCGGTACAATTCTGTTCTCGTTCAGCTGAACTACCTGAAATACATTAAAAAGCTTATTAATTTTGATTACTCAATACTTTTAACTCATTTAAAATATATTTAAAGCAAATCCTTTTTAAAATATACTTCCTTCAAAAATATATAAATAGTTCTGATTTCAACAATCAACATACAGTAAACTCCACTAAATGAAGCGACTTCGATTCTATGACGTAATTGAACGTAAAGAATACCAATGTGAACAAAATATTTATGTTAAGTAAGCCGATATCCAAACACATATTTTACTCTGTTCCTGCTTTACCTTTTAGGAAAAAATGAAATAAGAAAAAGCAAATGAAAAAAACATCTCATCGAAATTAAACCACTTTTGATTATAGCCAAAATACCCGCCAAATTTATGCATGACTTGAAACATGCCATCTTGTTTATCATTTACCGTATACATGCCATCTTGCTTATCATTATTGTAACTACCAGAATATGGTAAATTTTACTGTGTTTCCGGCTCTATGGGAACACCAAAGAGTAATTTTTACTGAAGCGTTTTGGTAATTATTTTGGTAAAATTATGAATAAAATGTGGTTTTATAAAATTTGTGGTGTAATAAAATTTGGTAAATGTGGTAAAATTTGGTAATTTTATCTGACTATTTTGAGACAGGGCATTAAATAACTTTTACTTTTAATTTACTTTTAAAATTGTTTTTTTAAATAAACATGTGTTAATAAGAAATTTAAATTTCAAAACTAGAATTTCCAGTTAACCGTTACCATATGAAATTATAAATTAGTAAATGAAAGGTATAGATACCATGTATTTTGGTTTTATTACTCAGAATTATGGTATTTTTTTATTAGAAATGCCATTACCTCAAAGTATGGTAATTTTACTGGCATGGTAATTGAAAGGAAAATAACCATATTTGATATTATATATTTAAAAAGCTATTATTTGTATATGCTTCAAATAATCTCTTATACTCTAAGGAAGTATTTTCTTAACGCTATTACTACTGCAAAATATAAGGCAGATATCTTTTAATCTAATTATTCATTACAAACTTGTTTTCTAATCTCCGAAAATGTGTTCCACATGTATTTATCTGTCTTGTTACAATGTACAATTATCACTTTTTGACAGACGTTCTTTGTTTTGATGGTAAGTAAAAGAATGTAAAAGTTAGTTATTTAAATATTAAGAATGAATGTCATTAACTTTTTCAAAACAAAAAAAATAAATAAATAAAGCAATTAAGAGAATAATGATGCCAGACTTAGCTTTTGGAATCATACATAATTAAGTTTATATTTTTAATTACAACTTTTTGTTTGAGTAAATCACCTTTATATTGACTTGGTTTTAATTAGTTTTGAGAGAAATGTTAAGCAAATATTCTAAGGCATAGCATACTTTATTCATTATGCAACAAATTAAAATGACAGTTACTTAATGAATAATACAAATTTATGAATTAATTAAAACATATATCATCAAATATGACTTATTTATTGATAAACTCTTCTTTTTACTTTGTAACTTATTACAAATGACGAAAATATTAATAATCTGAATGACAACTACGAATTTTCAGCAGGTAAAGATTTGCTAGTATTATTTTTAAGAATATCAATCTATAAATCATCTCGTAAACTTTATTTTGTAAAGTTTTATGGAACTTAAAAATTAATTAAAATTGTTCTCTTCTTTAATTTGGAAATTAGCATAAGTCATGAATAAAGCTATAGAACTACGAAGTTAAAGAAATTAATTAAGGAAATAGTGATTTTATGTTGCATGATTTGTACAAAATTTTTCGTTTCCCATTATATTTTTTTCTCCTTTTAAGCTAGTTAATCACATAACTTAAGGTTTAAAATTCGAAAAAAAAATTTCAATTATTGCAGCTGTCTGTAACAGCAAAGGAAAAAAATTTAAAGAAGAAACAAAAAAAAAATACAATTCATTTATCAATCGGAATCTGAGATGAATCCGTTTCTCGATAGGAACTGTCTTCAAATTTCATCTTCTAATACGAGGGTTTTAAATTATTATTATTATATCACTAATCATATTTAATTGCTCCTAGGATTTTATAGATCTTATATTGATTGTTTAAATTTCAACGAAATCTTTGTTCTTTTTAATTTAAAATTCTTTAATGTTTTCTATCTTGAAATTTGTTTACTCTTTTTTAATTTATTACAATTCAAGTAAACAGTACAAGAATAAAAAAATTTAAAAAAACCTAATACTCCTAATTTTAACTTTAAACCAAAGCAATAATTTAAAAAATTTAGAAATTTTGCTAAGTACACATTCTACGTTTGCTATTAATATATATATATTTTTTAATATTTTTCATAGCAGAAAATGTGTGTTGGAGAAAGAGATCAGAGAGTGCAAAATACGCTAAAAAAGGTAAAAAAGAAAAAAGAATTTGTAGATTGCTTTTAAATTGAAAAAAAATCAATCGGTCATTGGTCTAGTGCCGTTACAGTCAAAATGACTTATACATAGAAAAAAAGTTTATTATTAAGAAAAATGACAAAAAATTATAAGTCATGGCATTGCCTATCAACTGCTTTTTTAAACTTTATTTTGAACGAATTTATGACTGAGCAATATTAACTGTTTTCTTTTATGAAACATCCTTTTTCCCTTGATAAAGTTTCAGAACGTCGCTGCTATATTAAAAAGTTATAAAAAGTTTCCATAACTATTTCAAAACAGTTTTTAGCTTAATCATATGATTCGTAGTAACTCTACTTGACATACGAAAAAATTCATCCAGTTTCACACTTATCACATGAATAGCAGCGACATTTCGTAATAAAACACCCAGATGTGAACTGAAAATCCAGATGATGCAAAAAAATAACCAAATGAAACTTGGTTGGGAAAATTGTGCTAGAGAAAGACATGTTAAATCTGAGATTGAAAAAGGTGTGAGAAAAATAAAAGAACTTGTAGATTGCTTGAAAATTTTAAATATTTCAATAAGTCATTGGTCTAGGATTCAGAACACTGCAAAATGACTTAAGCATAGCAAAAAAGTTTATTATTAAAAAAAGTGATAAAGAATTATAAGTTGGACATTTTGCCTACCAATTGCTTTTTTAAACTTTATTTTGGACGAGTTTATGAATAAGCAATGTTAGCTGTCTTCTTTTATAAAACATCCTTTTCCCTTTAATAAAGTTTCAAAACTTCGCTGCCATATTAAAAAGTTATAAACAGTTTCCGTAACTATTTCAAAATAGTTTTAAACTTAATCATATGGTTCGCAGTAACTCTATTTGACATATGAAAATAACCATCCAGTTTCACGCTTATCACATGAATAGCAGCGACATTTTGTAATAAAACACCCAGATGTGAACTGAAAGTTCAAATGATGCAAATAAATAACCAAATAAAACTTGGTCGTGAAAAAGTGCACTGGAAAAAGCATGTTAAATCAAAGATTGCAACGAACTCGGAAGAAGGGATAGAAAAGATTAAAAAGAACTCGCAGATTGCTTTAAAAGATTTCAGCCAGGCAGCTAGAGGAATTGCTTTCACGTATTTGAATAACAAGGGACGGGGATAAGCGTCCAAATTTTGAGCAAATCGAGTTCTGGAAGTAGATTTGATTTTCTTTCTGACTGCTTCCAAAGTAAAATGTGAAAAAAAGCTGTTGAAAGACGAATTGAAATTTTCAAAAATATTTTGATATTATTTTCTCAAAACATGAGATAAATGAAAAACTAATTTCTAAAACTTATCATATGAGTGAATAGAATTCTAAAAATACCATTCAGTTTATTTGTGTAAAGGTTTGAGTTAAAGAAAACATGAAGTTGATGAAAAATCTTTTTGAGAAAGAGAACTAATAGAAAAATTAACTTTTCTTTTGCTATGCAGCATAAGAAAAGGTATGGTTAATAAAAAAAATGAATAAATTGTTTTTTTTCCTCCGAATTCATTACTTGCAACTTTGCACTCGTGATTTAAATATGATCACATATGCCCATCTGTTCAAAAACTATTTATGGTATTAGAAGTTATTATATTAAATTGCTTTCACGCATTTGAATTTAAGGAGAGGGAGATAAACATCTGAATTTTGAGCAAAATGAGTCCTTTTGAATAGTTAAGTATTATATATATATATATATATATATATGTTTTTACTTATTTTTACTTTTTGTGTTCTATTTTATTTGTTGTAATTTTTGTAAAAAAATTTTTTTGAGTGCTCCTCATACTATTGTATTAATATATTTTGCTTTGGCTTTATTGATACAATATTAGGAAGCACTCTGTTTTGCGGATATAATCGTGTGGGCTGATGAAAATATTATATCTTTTTTTCCCCGGTTTTTTTAAATAAAATTTAATCCTTTTTTTTCTTTTTTAACTGTTGTTTGTTATTTTTTTACTTATTATTTNATATATATATATATATATATATAAGTTTAGACTATATTATTTTATCTCAGTGTATATGTGACATTTTTACATTCTTGCATGATACTTTTTAAATTAGTAATAAAATATTTAAAAGTAAATAGGTCAAACATTATCCATTAAATATCCATATATAATGCTCTCGACTTAAAATATACATTTTAACTGTCAAATAAAATGATTACATCCAAGTTCACTTATTCTTAAATAAATCTTTCTCGTTGCTTATATATACTAGTATTTCGCATATTTTTTTAAAGAGAAAGATATATTTTTACTCGTTTATAGTGAAGGAATACATTCGGTTTATAGGAAAAAGTAGAAATTGCGCAAGATTTTCGTAAAAAAAATCTAGATATTTTTTAGAGTTTTCCCTCTGGCATGTGAAAGGTGGTGATAGCAAGAAGCAATCGATTCTATCGAGAATCCTGAGAAATAGTAAATAATCACGTAACTCATATTTACCCATGCAAACAGGTATATATTTAAAAAAAAAATGCAAGTCAGTTTGTGAAATGGCAAATCGTACGTCAAATAGGGAATTACATTTTTTTATAAATCATAAAAAAACATAAAAAAGG